GCGAGTTGCCTATCAACAAAAGCGAGCGTTGGTTATCGGTATTAATGATTACTTCTCCAATCCATTAAGTTACTGCATCCTAGATGCTCAAGATTTCAGTAGCACTCTCGAAAGTATCGGATTCAATGTGAAAATGGGAATTAACTTTAACCTCAACGAATTTCGTAAGACTTTCGAAGATTTTCTCAATGGAATTAGGTCTAATGATTTAATCTTATTCTATTTCGCGGGTCATGCCAAATCACATAAGGGTGAAAATTATTTGTTGATGTCGGATCATCCTTACGATTCATCTAAAATCGGAAGCGAACACAAGGCGAACAACGCCATTTCAATAGACGACATCATGAAGCCATTAGCTGACAAAAAACGTTGTGCTACAATATTCATCTTTGATTGCTGCAGGAAGTGCATAAGCCCTGTAGAAGCCAATGCTCAGCAAAGTTTATTATCGATGAAAGCACCATCGCAAACATTGATAATGTATTCAAATAGTGTGGGCAGAGGGACACTTGGTGAAACAGGAAATGGGAAAAATGGTTATTTTATGGAAAATGTGTTAAAACATATTACAAAGCCCAATATTGAAATTACAGATGTGTTAAGAAATGTTGGTAGTGATGTCGACCATCAAACTAACGGTTCGAAACGAGTATATTACAACAGTGGTCTCCGGGAAAAAGTCTTCTTGGTGACAACTATTGATCCACGTCAGAGCTTCTAATTTTTTATTTCTTCTGTATGTAAATCGAAACTCGATCCTGAATTAGTGTTGCTCACCGGTAGTTTGAAAAAATACAGTTTCGATCGGTCCTTACAGCAGTTATCCATTGTTTAAAATCAACAATTTAATAACTAGAATGATCACAGTTTAGCTCAAAGTTAGGCTTGTATCATTTCTTACAATGGAGGTGTTTGTACTGTAAGTTGAATTTACCAGATATTTTTGCATCAATAGAAAGCCCTCACCGTCAAACTAACAAGGTTAAAATATTAGCGGCTGTTGGCTTGCCTAGAGGGAGATATTTAGATTTTAAATTTAGGTATAAAAATGATTCAGGAAAGATTTTCTCCAATATTATAAGGACAAAACATAGTGTTGTTCGGGGCGATTATGGGGTTTGTAGGGACCCTCTTTCATATGACCCGAACAACACTATGCTCTGTCCTTGTAATATTAGAGTGAATTTTTCCTGTAGCTCATGGAAACAGCTTTTCTTATCAACCACTAGAAAAATTCACTCCGCTATTATAAGGACAAAACACAGTGTTGCTCGAGCCATATGAAAGAGAGACCCTACAAACCCCATAACTGCTCCGAACAAAACTATGTTTTGTCCTTATAATAGCGGAGTGAATTTTTCTAGTGGTTGATAAGAAAAGCTGTTTCCATGAGCCACAGGAAAAATTCACTCTAATATTACAAGGACAGAACATAGTGTTGTTCGGGCCATATGAAAGAGGGTCCCTACAAACCCCATAATCGCCCCGAACAACACTATGTTTTGTCCTTATAATATTGGAGAAAATCTTTCCTGAATCATTTTTATACCTAAATTTAAAATCTAAATATCTCCCTCTAGGCAAGCCAACAGCCGCTAGTATTTTAACCTTGTTAGTTTGGCGGTGAGGGCTTTCTATTGATGCAAAAATATTTGGTAAATTCAACTTACAGTACAAACACCTCCATTGTTAGTGACGAAGTTTGACTCGAACAATGGTATTTTCGTCGAGTCTCAAAGATAGTATTGATCTGTCATTCTGCAAACACTAGTACTGAACATTTACGTTGTTCTTTTTCTTTTTTTTGCATACTGGAAGAAAATTTCCGGAAAGCCAAAAAGTTGCTCCTGATAAGCGTTTTTGCCAAACAAGAGCGAATCATATCTCATCTCATTTTCTCTTGACAAAAAACAAATAAGACAAATTTATATGACTTTACTAGGTTCAATTGGTAAGTCTGTGGATGAACTTCGATCGACTAACGCACCTGGAGAACCTACAGTATCTGATCAGATTCAACGAAAAGAACAATTTCAACACCGACACAAAGAGTTTGACCGATCGGCCAACATAGATCTCGTTGAGAAGAATACCTCAGATTGGCCTTTAATGCAGCGTAAAACGAAGCTAGTGACCTCTGTAAATCAAGGTAATCGAATGAATGTATCACGAGACGGAGAACGTATCTCTAGAGGAATGAGCAGAGCTGCTGGATCTGTCAAGTTATCAGACAAAGATGATATCGTTGAACCAGAGTCACGAGGAGAACATTCAAATGGTCCAGAAGCCTCGTTGCGTTCATCTAATACAAGTAATCTACCAGCTCAAATAAGAACACCGAAATTATATTCAAGTGAAATTTTTGGCGTTAACGAAACAATCAAAGAAGAGTTACGATTTTTATTGAAACATCTAAGACGTCGACTGGCATCTATGGACAAACAAGGGCCGATGAGTGGCAAATGCATTCGTGAGGCTAACCAGATGGAAGATTTTCTTAAGAGAAATTTTGGTTTCTATAATAATGGCAAATACATTGTATCTGGTGTACGAGAATTTGAACTGCTTAAACCTCTCTTAAAGATGGACTCCAACACAAGAATTTATTTTCCTCGTGAGGGTAGTGATTCATTTACCATGACTATATCGGAAATCAGGAGGTGGCAAAATTCCTTTGCAGTCTATGCTGATCAAACTACCTCAGGGATGGACAAAGACTTTCTTTATCGAGCTCTCCAGGGAAAAAGTAAAGATGGCGAAGAAGCTTTTCGCATGAAATTTGTTGTGCGAATTTCTGACTGTCCTATCTTGATGAAATTCGATGCGAAGATATTACCTCGTTCACTCGAAGAGCATTGGCCTAATTGCATCAAACTCGTTTCGGTGACAGGCGTCGACTTTGCTGGACGAGAACACGATGTCAACGATGTCACAACCTATATCACCAATTGGGGAAATGTTTTCGAGCTTGATCGCATCACAGGTAAGCCAGCAGTGTTTCATGGGAGGGACTTTTATCCAGTGAAGCCTCAGCCACCTGTCGTGCTTGACGAAAAACGTTTGATCGGCGATCTTATTCGTATGGTGCGACTACGATTAAGAGCATGCGATAAGGAAGGAGTACAAATTATAGTCGAGACAGGTATTGGTCTTGGTGTTTTCGCTGGCAAACACATTGGCATTGATGCCCAAGTTCGGAAGTTGTCTGCCTTTGCCGTTCGACATGTACTCCAAAATGAATCGACCATGTTCAAAAATATCCGCGCTATTGTGTTTGCTTTACCGATCTTCTCCAAAAGTATAGACGGTCATCAGCTTCCTGACACTTATTATGATTTTGTTAACGAATTTCACAAGAGTCAATATCGTGGACCTATACCTGTGCTTATCGCTGATCAGGATATGCATGAATTGACGGTAGCCATTGCTCTTCAGGGCTTTGGTGTTTCTCAACTCAATCCAGCTGATTCACATGGTGTGTTTGGCGATTATTGGCAAAATCATGAACCAGAAGTGGAAGAGAAACTCGCGGTGACGACACTCGGCCTGCTCGTTCAACATCATCTTTTTAATCCTTCAGTTCTAGATACGAGTAAATATAACATCATATGATGTTAAATATTTTCAAATGGCCAATGCTAATCTCTCGAACAATCATATTTTTTTATCACAAGCAAACGAGTTCTCAATGAAACATAAGAACAACGCACTACTGCCACAAACATTCTTATTGAAGAGCAACATCCTTCTTTGACATATGGGCTCCAATTTCAGGATTTTTAGGGACGTGGGCGTAGAGATCAGTTTAATAAAAATGATACACTGCAGTTTTCCTCTTGAAATTGATGATTGTTGGTCCTTTAAGCATCATTAGAAATGTTTCTTCGATTCGTGTTCTTGAAAATTTTTAGTGAGGCGTGTGAACTCTTAAATCACGTCACATGAGTTCAACTAAAAATGCGTCACTACTACAGACGAATATTATTTGGTTGGTGTCTTTTTATATTTTCGTTCAACAGACTTTTACTATCGATCATGTTTTCGGAGTTGCTCATTTATTATTTAATTGAAAGCAAATTATTGAAAACATTGTTTCCTTGATCCATATAAACTTTTTACTTTTAGACTTGTCTTTTTTTATATACGACGAAGTCACAAGTCAAGTCATAATTAATTCAAAAAGTTTTCAAGTCAAATCGAGTCAAAAATGACTTAACTTGCCCATTTCTGTGCCAGACAGTAACCTAAAGTCATACCCATACTTTCATTCAAATTCAATTTCTTACCCGCACCCATTCAATTACTCTCAAAGTTCATTTTATTGGGTGAGTGTGGAGGTATGAATGTGACTCTGCTCGAATATGAAACACTTGCCTGTGTCCATAAGTCATCCACATCCATTCAAAATTCATTTTTACATCCTAAACTACACTCCTACTGAAAGTTATCCTCAAAATCAAACAGATTCATCGGATTGGGTGTGACTGTGTATTTCTACTCTCAAAGTATACCTATATCTACAACCATACATTCCACACCCACATGAACCAGTCGGGTTCTAGAAAATGTCATCAAACACAGTAACGAGGGATGAAATTTGTTTTTGAAAGAAAATTTCTCTAGACTAGTGAAAAGACTTCATAGAATGCAGAAAATGCAGAATCAATACACTAAAACAGATCAAAGAGTCAGTAGCAATGAATATTCTCTATTCTGTCGCAGAAACATAGAAAGACAAACGCGCATCTGATCAATCGATAACACTGGGGAGCCAGGAACGCTGGCAAGTGGCTGAACTCGTGTGGCAAGCCAATCGAATTTTAGAGAACGAAAGGAAATTTGATTGGCTTGCCACAAAAATCCAACGAAACGTTAGTGTTCCCAGCCCGTCAATGTCCTCGATGAGAAAGATATGACTGAACACTTCAATCATACGACTAATTCTGCATTGGTTTTCAAAAGAACAGATGAGACAAGTATGAACGATAATTTTTCGATGGAAACCTATATGTTTACTATCGTTTGATCTACATTTTGTTAATATTCGTCTTCACTTCTCACTCAAATAATTGTTTCTTATGATGTAATCAATATTCGCTCTGGTTCTGATCTAAGTGTGTCATTTGTATAGGACAGAGCAATGAAATTAAAATGACTCGGTACAAAACGTTGTTCTTAGCTGCAAAAGTTCAACATAGGGAGAAAATCCGAAGAATTACTGAATTGTATTTTACTCAGTGAGAACATGTGGAAGAGGAGTTCAATTGTATGAATGATAAACACTATGTACATATCTCGAGATAAATTTGAGGAGAATCCATTCAAATTTCTCAAAAACGAATTCAACGATATAGATGGAGATCTACCCATGTGTACGAACTTGTGTTCTGAGAAATTTTTGAAAAATATTGTGTTTATGGAAATTTTTCGAATTATTTTTCTGTTTTGAGAAGTTTTTCTTTTTTTACGGTGGATTCTGCACCTTTGGTCCTCACACATTCACCTACAAATAAAGTAGAAAAAGAAACTTTAGAGCGATAGCGTGAGGGACACTACTTATCTGGAGAATCATTTACATTTGGGAACAATTAGAACTTCCCTGTTCAGAGATGCGTGCAAACTTCCTAGCATTTCGTTTATTCGCATGGTTATATTAGTAAACTTTTTGTTGAACTAACATTTCCATCTGTAATCAAAATAATCTGATTTTGATTTGAATTGTCAGAAATTAGTGTAGTACATACATTTCTCAATAGAAATTGAAAAGGTATGTGAATAGCATCAGATAATATCCTACCTGAATTATGTTCATTGAAACTGAGCTAAGACTTTGATGAAACTAGTGCCACTCGTAATCTTGCTATATTTGCCGGTTTACAATCCATTGCCTGATAGACTTTTGTATTGAGTATAAGACATGGGAGAGGGTGCTGTTAGCGTAAGTGAACGCCTGCTCTTCTTCTACACATACATCCATATTCTCATTCATCGTTATGAATAACTAAAGCATATCAGCCATCATTTGTTAAGTAAGTATCCTTATAACTATGCTGTGAATCTTGATATCTGAGTTATGGATATTGTAATATTTCTCATTAAATAAGTCATGATGAAGTTTTTCATTACGATACATAGGTGCTCATAGTTTTTCTAATCATTTCAATTTAATGAAATGCTCTGATGATCATGCAACGTTTTTCGTAGACGATAAAGTTGTTCAATAAGATATTTAACTGTAATCAAAGTATATGTATTATTATTAGCGTGATAGAGTTTAGCTTATGCTTATAAAAAAAAGGAAGAAAAATACCAAGAATATCATTCGCTGTGAACCGAAAAACAGCTCGAGAAGTGCATAAGAAAACAAACTATGTGAAATACTATTCGTTTTTCCTTCGACTCTAAAATTTAAACGAGAATGAATATAAAATATGGACATGATATCACAAGTCTCGATTGCTCTATCTTATTCATAGACAAGTAAAAACAGGAAAATACGCGACTTGTTTTCGTCAAAGACACATAAAAAATGGGAATGAAATGATAGAAAAATTAGTCTTTTACTTTTGACTCGAAATCGTGTATGACAAAAAAAATAATTAACTTGAACTATGGTGCGATATGATAAATGATTTCATCATCCATATGAATTTTCACCATTTGTTTATATTGTATGCCTTATGACATAATCTCGTTTAAATTACCGCTACTAGAAATGGTTCTGCATATTGGCTACTATTCTTCATGTCTCTGTTTTTGATAAATATTATCATTTAGAAATGAGACACCGAAACGATTGTTAACAGTTACTCTTTTATAAAAGAAAAAGAAAAGATTCACAGTCACACTAAGAAACCGTTTCGATTGCACCATTTTCTTTTTCAAATATACTCTGTTTTCATAAAATTTGCTATAACAAAACATAAGTCTATATAAACAGTAGAGACAAAACTCTACAGTCGATCAGTGTGAATCTCATCTAGTAGATATTTTTTTTCTCTATATAATTTCCAAATAAATTCTCCAAATAAACTATTAGCCCATGCAAACCAAGATCGTGTAAATCTCATTGGATCATTCATGTGAATTGATTCATGCATAAATCCAGTATCAGCATGAGATTTTTGTAACATATTTAAACATAAACGAATTTCATCATCATCATTTGTTGTTAAACCTCGCATGATAATGCCAAGTGGCCATACCATTTCATATCCGACATGTGGTCCACCAATACCTAAAATGATCAGAGATAAAAAATTAAGAATAGTTATTCTTATATGACCAAATCAAAGGATTAAATAATGCAATATGTAATGAAAAAAAACCTCAGAATATTTACCTTCAAGAAGACCACCATTAAAAAACCATGGATTATCTTTACTAAGTACAAATTTTCGTGTATTTTGATAGATTGAATCATTGATAGAAATATCATTCGGACATAAATAAGGTAATGAAAGTAGAGATGGAATATTTGCATCATCCATTAAATTTCTATCTCCAACTCCATTGATTTCATACGAATAAATTAAACCAAAGTTTTTATGTTGAAATGTAATTAATGTTTCTATATTATTTTTAATATTATCATCAAATAAAATAGTATGTAAATGAGAAATTAATGATGATATATCATCACTAAAATCATTTGTCAAATTTAATTTTTTGACAAGTTCGAATAAAAGTTTTAATGCATGATGAGCAAAAAATTGAGATGGTATTAAATAAGGATATGTTTGTAGATCATCACTTGGACGAAAATATGAATAAATTAAACCATTCGGTTTAGCATGATAACCACGGGGATCAGGCGGTGCACCTTGCCGTTGATATGTATAAGAACCTAAGATTATAAATAAAATCATGTGATGATCTTATAAGTCATATCTATAACATGTCATAGATTACAAAGTAGTATTTAGAAACGAACACAATAATTGATAAATTTTTCTCTTTGACTTCAAAAAGATCATTGCTTTGGTATATTTATTTTTTAAATACATTGACAAAGAAAAGAATGAGAATTTTCAACCTTGTGTTTTTTAACATTACCTGATCCATTGTATCGTCGTTGTTCTTTCATCGTATGTAAAATAATTCGAATAGTTTTTTTAAATTCTTCTTTATGATCATGAAAAAATGTTAAATCATGATTAACTTCTTTCCAATATGAATGCATTAATCGTAAAACATAACAAAGTGAATCTAATTCCCATTTTCTTTCATGTACACCATCACGCATTTCTGTTTCATCCATATGTTTCCATTCACTAATACGGTTTAAATCTTTATAATGTGCATTCGCATATGGATCACGTTGAATACATATAAATTGTCGTAGAAGAACACCTTCAATTAATTGACGAAGTTTTTTATCATGCTTCATTAAAGGTAAATAAGGATGTATTTGTGCACTAGAATCACGTAACCACATTGCATCAATATCACCTGTAATAACATAAGTATCAGGATGATTTTGAGCTGCTGCTTGAACATCAAAATCAACTGTTGTATCAAGAGTATTAGGAAAACAATTTTCAAATAGCCATGCAAGTTCTTTATTTTTTATTTTTCGTTTTATTTCTTGAATTAATGATTCAACAGCTGAACTTGTAAATCGGCGTTCTATTATGTTACGACGTACTTGAGGAAAATTAATTGTAGAAGAAATGTCATTTTTAATTGGACTGATATCTTCATACAGCCATAAATGAATACATGCTGTAATTAAACAGATACCGACAAGAAAACCAATTATAAAACAATATCGTCGATGACGATGTTGAGGTAATAATATCATTGCTATTACAAAAAAGAATAAAAGGCTTAACAAAAATTGATTTTTTTTTCTTTTTTACCTTCTCTTTTTTGTGTGGGTTTACGATTGTCGCTTTAATGTTCTTCTTTCTGTGAGTAAATGGTGTTTTTTTTCTTACCTTTTTTGTTATTTTTTATAACGACTGGATTATAAGACAACGTGCTTTATATAATTTGGTTGGAGAGATTTAGACAGATGAATGTAGACGATAGAGAATTATGCAGCGTTGAGTCATATAATAACGACGCTGAAACAATTGTGATTGACTAGAATCTATTATAAACTCACCGTTCAAAACAATAATTACTATTCACTTATTTTCATATCGAGGATTGAACTACGTCTATGTATAATAAAGTAGTAGAATGCTTTTCGTTATACTATGTTTATGAAAAATAGTTTCTTTCGTTCACATGAGGTATATTATATCTATAACGTGCTCTTCTCAGCAGATGATAACCACTCAATGAAAACCACTCAATGAAAACCACTCGTTGAATATCTATAGAATATCTTTGAATATCTTTGCTACTCTCATCGATAAACTATAATTGAATACGAGTAGCTGGGTGCTATTCTACTAAATTGAGATAGAACCAGAATCTCTTTTGAATAAATCCAATGAATCCTTTATCAAGAGTGTATACAATTGCAATTTGCCTATTTATGATTTCAATAAAATTGATAATTTGAAACTGCCTGTTTTTGCAAGGCACTAAACGATCTTTATTATATTTTTCAATTAATTCTGTTATCTATGAAAATGCATGATTAATCGTAGAATTTTTCGCTGAATAGTATTACGTTTCATCTTTTTATTATCGGCCTTATAAATTCAGGCAGCTACTCCACTGCACACACACATCTTTTATTTAATCGAATGACTGATTTCAAATACAAACATAGAGAGCATTTGTAAAATCATGTTTCAATATTCATGTTTTCTAATTAGTTCTGAGAATGAACTTGTAAGATGGCACGTGCAAATGTCACGCCTCCATCGGATGTATGTTTTAAATACAAATCCGGCTCGATAACTTCAAGTTCAATAACGCATAAGCGTCCAGTCAAGTGATTACGTATCATATCGACACGAGCATAAATAGGAGTTTCAGGACAGGTCGCTAGCGAAGCATGAGCTAATTCGAGCATTTCAGCTGAAGGTTGATCCATAGCAGTTATGGTACCACCAAGTTCGTTTTGTACGCGATAATCACCAGGCGGTGCAGTTTTTCGAACTGCATGACTTAACTTTCCATTACACATGATTACCGACAGTTCAGCTTCGCGAACAACATTTGACATGAACGGTTGGATCATCATTGCCGAATGAGCAATACCCAACCGGATTAATTCATCAACTGCCGCAGTTACGCTTAATGATCCTTAAAAGAAAAGCATATAGACTAGAATGAAGTTCATTTCTTCTCTTTTGTTTTACTTGGTGATGAAGTAAAGTCTGAACTGCCAACCAAAACACGTAACATATTAAAAGCAGATGCCGATACTTGAGGTTTGACAATAAGATCAGAAGTAGAAAAATGTGCTGCAGCATCGATCAATATTTTCTCATCGATCTGCTCGACATACAGTGTTGGAACGACTGGAATACCAGCCTTCTCTAATTCTTTCAAATACGTTTTGCGAGTATTCCACAGAAGGAGCGATGGAGAATTGATCAATATCATGTCTTTTGGCCAAGCACGAAGCCATGCTTCCCAACGATCTGGCACCGTATGATAGCCCCAAACAAGATTGACTACATAGCGAATCGAAGAACAAGAAGAGTCAAAAGCAAGGGGTGCTGTGGGCCATGGTGTTGCCACCGCGTGGGCACCAAGCATCTGAAAGTTGGACGCCAGTTGATCGAAAGAAAATCGCCAATCTCCAAAGGTTGCAGCATCATCGAATTCGGGAGTTAAAATAACCACAATGGGTTTGTCTGTCTTAGGTAAGATCGATGATGGTATCACTGTTGTAAGATCATCAGCTGGTGCGTTTATACATGAAGTCATGTTGGATTCTATGCTTTGTATGAACAACTATAATAGATACAGAGAGATATAGACGACATCTTGAATCATTGGAATGAGCACGCCAAACTTACCTTGTTTTGTCGAAACAAGAGTGATTCGTCTTTTCTTTTTCATATATTTTGTTCTTTATCACTCAAAACCAACTTAAAGCTTATCAGTGATACACTACACTTGTGTATCATATATAAACACTTTACATTATAGTTTTCAGTGCAATGTCAGACTGAGTCATACACTATAGAATAAGGATAGACGGACATTAGATACACTAATCTTTCCTCGAAGGCAAACTTAAAAAAATGTCCTTAGTTGATTGATCGGATCAAATGATTTTATCTTAGAAATAGAAATCAACATATTTCTTATGGAATAATATTTTCAATTGTCAAACATAGTCGAACTTTATAGTTAAACTCCAAGTAGATCTGTAGAAAATGAACAGAAGACTAAAACCATTGCAGCATATCTCTTAGTGACGAAATAGACAATGAAGAAGACAAGTATCGACATCTGGGGACAATCCAAGTGGTTTTATTTCACTGACACTTTTACAAATTATTTAAAATTTTGCTTTCTATGCCATCAGTATTCTAGATAAAATTCAGCACCGTTCGATGCGACTTTCCAAGTATTAGAACAAATATATAGGAGAAAAAAAAACACCGAAATACCGAAAAAAAGCTGGCTCTAGACAAATCTGAGCTATTTTTTTCGATTGATTTAAAGTAGCAAAGTTCCATTCAGGTCAGCAACAGCATATAAAAATGTGAACCCAGCGAGTGTGTAATCATTCAAAATATCCATATCATCGTTAGAATCGAGATGGATATCTGTTACCCTATATTATCTCACATTTATCGGTTGACAATATCTTTTTTTTACTTTTCTTGTAATAAATAGAAAAAAGTTTAATATAATGATCAGCTATTCACTGATTCGTTATCTGTACATATCCATGCCTAATTTTATTGACGTTCTCTATCTTATGCATGAATAAGTTTGTTTTTTTTTATACACGTGTCTATCTATCTATCTATTAATAGACAAAGTCCCTTACAATTATACCTGTTGGTATTTTATGTGAAGCATATTTCACATAAAGTCTTAAGTAACGTGATATGATACGAAATAGCGAAGCTGGCATGAGCATCTTCTCTGCATCAAATAAGCTTACTCGTAATGTCAATTTGGAAGATTTTTCTGTCGTATGGCTAGATAAGAATGTTAACAATGATATTGATTGTGAACAAACAAAATATAAACTTCGTTGTGTCATTGATTATATTCAAACATTTGACAATGAAGATGATTGTATCGAATATGTCGAAGACTATTATATGCACAAAATCTTCTTAGTTGTTTCAGGTGATGTTGATCAACAATTTATACAAAAAGTACATATGTTTGATCAAGTTCAATCGATTTATGTTTTCTGTCTACAAAAAGAAGCACATGAACAATTAGCAAACAATCATTCCAAAGTACAAGGTTTTTTTGTTAATATAGATAATCTTATTGATCATCTCAAATGTGATATGTTTGCATGTACACGAATTTCTTCATTTGTCGAGTATTCACTGCGTAACCTAGCAGATAACAATCGAATATCGATGTTCGGGTTCCAATTTCTACTCAAAATCCTCATTCAAATCAATTACGACGAAACTGCTATTTGTGATATGATAGATCAATGTCGTTCTTATTATCGAGGTAACGAACGAGTACAAAATGATATTGATGAATTTCAACAAAATTATAAACCACAAGATGCTGTAATATGGTATACACATGATTCGTTTATTTATCGACTATTAAATGCTGCTTTTCGAATACAAAATATTGATATTATATTTATTTTTCGTATATTTATTCGTGATTTATACCAACAATTGGAAATAATGCATATGAATCTTCTCGAACTTGTTTGTAATCCAGCTCAAATGACTGTCTATTATGGTCAGTGGATGACAAGCACTGAATTGGACAAGCTGAAGAAAAATGTTGATCGAATAGTGTTTATGAACACGTTCTTATTAACATCGATTGATAGGACCTTTGCTGAAATATATTTTGGTTGTAGAAGTCAATGGTCTTATTTGGAGTCTGTACTATTTACTATAGAATTGGATTCAGAAATAATGACACAACCGTTTGTCGGTATTCGTAGTAAAAGTAAATCTACGGATGAAAACAAGATTCTTTTGCCGTTTGGTACTCTATTTCAAATAATGTCTATCAATGAAAGTGATAATCATGTATGGCATGTTCATTTAATCTGTGTTAAATGCAATCAGTATGGAAGTGAAATTGCATTCGAACAAGAGTTTCTCACTGATCAACGGCCGACTATGGACTCATTCTTCCGCTTGGTCGAGCGTATGGGTGATCCAACACGTGCAAATCGCTATAGAAAAATGAATATGATTAATCGTAAAATATTTCTCCATGACTTTGAGTTACATGAAAAATGGAATCATTTTGACAAAACTATCGATAAAATACGTGCACTATCAACGCTTGCATTATTCTATTATCAGATTGATGACTGTGAAGCAGCATTGAGAAATTATAAAAGATGTGTTAAACTTATCTGTGATACCAATAGTGAATTTGAGCAAATAAAAGATATATTTATGTTGATGGGTGTTATTTATGTTAAGTTACATGAATATGCACATGCGCTCGATGTTTTTACTAAGTCACTAGAAATTACATTAAATTCTAAAACAAAAGTTGATGATGAACAAGGTGAAATATTGTATTCAGGTATTAGTCTTTCTCATGGAGGTATGGGGGATTGGAAATCTGCTCTGATGTCGATGGAGATGGCGCTTAAAATTAGATTAAAAAACCTTGTCCGAGGACATCCAAAAGTAATTGAAGGTTACTTTACTATTGGTGATATTCATTTGCGACTTAATCATTTCTCACAAGCAATAGACTATTTTCAAAATGCAATCAATCTTACTCTTGGTCATCTGTCTGAAAATGTACCAATTCTAGTTCGGCTCTATGCTAGTATGGCTTTGGCCTATTCTTATATGAATGACTCTGCGAATGCATCAAGATATTTCTATCAAGCATACCAATGTCTGGAAAAGTCAACATTTACTACGCAACATTCTGCAACTTATCAATATCTTGCTGAAGTAAAAGCATCAGATGACATGGATTCAGCGTTAAATATTTTTGCTAGAAGTTTTGTTGTAACACATCAGGATCGAAACGAATCATTTTATGATATGTATAGCATTGCTCATTATCACATGAGTCAAAACAAATACAAATTAGCGAGACGATTTTTTAAGAAAGCTCTTTTGCTTCACAATTTCCAAAATTATTCAACAATGAACATCATTTTGTGTTATTTACATTTATGCATTGCAGATATGTCTTATCGAACTGGCTTTGTTATGGAATCCCTCGATAATAATATGTTAGCTATCAGTTACTGGAATCATGATGATAATGATAATAATTACACTTGTTGTACGAGATTAGCATCTTGTTTTAAGACAGTGGCAAGAATCTATGCAAATATTAATAAACCAGAAAGAGCCATTGTTAATTTCAAAAAAGCACTTTTACTCTTAGACGAAAATGGCTGCAATTGTAATATTCTTGCTGAACTCTATGGATTTATTGCTGCTGCTTACGGCAAGAAAAACAATTGTGATCAGCTGAAAATAAAGTATTTGAAAAAATTAATCAATATCTATAATGAAAACAGATTAACATATGACATAAATCTATTTCATGCTTATGTTTGTCTTGGCCATGCCTATCGAAATTTGTACAATGATGATCTGGCTATTGTCAATTATGAACGAGCAATTAATATTGCCTTGCAACATCAGCTTGATTGTTCGACTGATATCATGCTCGTTTACTTTCAATTGGGTCTTTTGCATAGACAACATCTCGATATTGCGTTCTATTTGAAAGATTTTGACGATAACAAGACGAAAATTGAAATGCTTCGTAAACAAGCTATTGATAATTTTCAAAAGGCACTTGAGAGAATGGAATCGGAATCGAACGACAATGCACCATATGTTGCAGCAACTCATCGTCACCTCAGTGAATTGTATACAGAATATTCAGCACAATGGAATAATAATAATAATGTTGATGATGATAATGATGTATTAGATGATCTTTTAGGAAACGGCGATGATGCGTTCGAACAATTACAGTATTTAGTCGAAAGTTTCAAACAACTTGTGGACAACAATGATCCTGAGTCATGACTGGATGACATTTAATCCAACAAAAAGTTCCCAAGTTACCTTCAGACTAAATGTTGAATGTAGAAGTTGATTGAGATTTTTTTTTTCTTTTCGCTATTCTCTTTCACTCGATTCCTATATTAGGTTACAATTTAAGAAAACATATCGGTCAATCGTAGCTATACACTATCATTTTCAACACATATTTTACATGAAAAATATTTCATGAAAAATATTTCGTCTAATTATAATAAGACAGATTGTGTTTGATGAAATTGACTTCGTCTTTGCTCAATTAAAAGTACTCACCGGAACCTCAGAAACAGACTAGATGCAGATTCTATTGAGACCAAACGAGACTAAACTGCTGTCTTATCATCAAAATTTACAGTATTTGATGTTCTTTTTTATAGATATTTTGTTCCAATGCTTGATGCATGTACAATGTTACATATAACAGCAATGAATTTTTTTACCACTCATTTTTCATGGTCAATGATTGACATGATGGTTTATCGCAGCAAAATGTAAGGAAACTATACACCGAGATCTATTTTTATTAATGTTGAGTGCTCATTTAATGGAAAATGATATCGAACAGAAGAAGACAATGAAGAACTAATTAAACAAATATTTTACATAAAACAGAACTTGAAGTATCCATCGGTTAGACAAAAGAACTACTTTTTCTCTGAAAATTCTCCCTAATGTTCTGTACCAGAAGGTTAGTAGATAGGAGTTGAATGTTCTGCTAATACATCCATACCCTCTGAACAGAAGTAGAATATCACCAAATGACATTGATTAGTGTGTAAAATCTCTTTTTTCTTGCATTCAGCCTTGATCAGAGTATTTTAAGCTTTCGTTGCCATTTTTGTTCTACTTGTTTCTCTTTCTTTTCTCTGGTAACTAGCATGTCTTTCTTCTTTAGCTTACTACTCTTCCACCATTATCTTTCTTCTCTTTCCAACCTCGATAGCCATATTTTTGTTTGCATGATCATTTTCGTTCTGTTTTGCCTTATACCTTCTGTCTCCTTCAACCAACATTTTGTTCTTTTCTTTCTACTGTTCTTCGTTTCTTTTTCCATTTTTTCAGTTCTGACACATACATATTATTTTTATTGCTTGACATGCTCGTCCCACGTTTTACGCATATTTTTAATCTCACTTTTGCTTATTTGTTGCTTGCTGTATTCCTAACCGATATTTTTTATTTCTTTATCTCATATGAAGAAGTATTTGTTGAATAGAATGCTTTAAGAAGATGTTTAAAAGAAATATTGATTAAAATGAGTTACTATGAAGCATAGTCAGTGAGTAAAATACTATTTAACATACTCTACAGAAAAAATATCTTGAATATATTTTATCTAAAATTGAATTGCCAACATTATCAATTTTAGACATTTCTAAGAAAAACTCTCTTGCATCAACAACTTTTCAATGATTTATTTTCAGATCCCAATAAAACATCCATCTGATTAACTTCAATTGTAACCAATTCTAGAAGATTGTACTGTGATCTACCTTATATTCAAGAAAAAAGTGTTCAATGTTTAGTCAGATTACCAGGTTCAAAATAGAAGAACTTGAAAATCTACTTGACTACTTTATTATAATAGAGAACTGTAAAAATAACATTTTTTGATTCATCAAGTAAGAAATCATTTACTATTCTTCGATTTACTTTATTGAGTTATATACCGAGAATGATAAACTTGAACGAAAAAATGCTGCAATTTTTCAACCGCCAAAATCGAAATAAGGCACTAACATAAGTTGTTTTTTGTCTACTGAATCTAAAAGCGATCCAGATTCTGATAGCAAAATATTTTCAGGTTTCCTTATCGTGTGCTTATATTAGAAAATTAATTTTTTTTCTGAAATAAAATGATGATTTCAATATGAGGGATTTTAGGTAGATTTTACATGGCAAATGGAGACTTTCCTTTTTATCATTTGTTTCCTACTACAAAATGTTTTTTTTTCAGATTACGATAAAACTATTATAAACCATGGCGAAAATACTTGTTACTGGTGGTAATGGTGTATTAGGACAAGCAGTATCGAAATTATTTCTCTCAAATCACACAGATTTTGTTATTGCTAGTCGAAATCAAAAAGCAAAAACTTATAACAATGATAACGTGGTTTCTCCTACAAATCTAAAATGGACCTATATGGATTTGTCAAAAAAAGAAGGATTAAATAAATCTATGAATAATGATATTGACACAATATTACATCTTGCAAGTATTCATATACAAAAAATTGATGGTCAGCCTGGTGATATAATTTTAACAAAGAATTTATTAGATTCAATTCAGAAAAAGAATATTAAACACTTCGTATTTATTTCAATTGTAGGAATTGATAAAATTCCATTTTCCTATTACAAAGGCAAATTAGAATGTGAACGTTTAATCAAAGAAAGTGGTATTCCATATACCATATTAAGAGCTACTCAGTTTCATGATTTTGTAGATTCTGTTGCAAGCAAATTATTGAAACTTCCAATAGCTATTGTTCCAAAATCGTTCAAAGTACAGCCTATTCAAGTAGAAGCAGTGGCTATGGAATTAGATAAAATTATCAAAGAACCTCCATTAAATAGTACATATGATATTGGTGGTAAAAAAGTATATAATGCAAAAGAAATTATGGATTCATTATTAAAAATACGTCATGAAAACAAATTGATACTTAACATGCCAGCAATAGGTAATGTTATTAAGGGATTCATTAAAGGTTATAATACTTGTGACAATATCTCATTAAATTCGAATACATGGGAAGAATATTTATCAAAGAAATATCGTAAATAGCTTGTTAATTTCGACAGATATTCACAAATATTTTAAATAAACTTCAGCTATTTGTACATATAGAAATATTGAAATACACCTTTTTTTTTCTTTGTTTTATGGCTTTTTGTTCAAAACAATTGATTGCTGAGGGTTAGCACACTTTTCAGAAATAAGGATATGCATGATTTTCTTGTAGTGTTTCTCTTTGACTTCATTTATTGTATATGCATTGAAGCTTTAGCTTTGATCTCTTTTACATCGACTGATAATTGCTTTCAATGGCATGATTCAGAACAAAAGTCAGTTTTTATTCTTCTGTGTTAATAGTTGCTAAACAAACTTCATGATTAAATATGCTAGTATTTATTAGCAATAAGATTGATTATTTCACGTATGTCGAACTGTTACTAAAGTTGAAAATCCAAACATGCAGTTGAAAAAAATTCATATCAAAACATCCGTTTTTTTGCTAAGTCCTTGACGAAAGGGTTTTTCAATTACTTGGCAAATCTTTGATGCAAATCTATAATAACTATACTCATTGCTTGATTTCTGTTTCTCTCAATGATAAAACGTTATTATACAACTCAATTCAACAAGAAAATTTGTTTCCATTTTATTATTGAAAGCATGTTGTTGAAATATATCCGATGACAGGATATTTTATTCGAATATGAAAATGCGACAAAGAAACAAAAGAAAATATCACATTGCATCAAACTACTTCGAACAAGTTTTATGTAGTTATACGAAATGTGCATAAACCTACCTTGCATATTGATTTAATCTTCAAACGAAATAGAAAATTATTACTGAGATGTACACTCAAAAATTTAGGTTATACAATAAATCTCTCGTGAATGAAATACTCTGCCAATTCAACTTCCTTGCTACAGTCAGTTGTGAGGATGAGAATGTTCAATAAAACCTATTCTGCTATACGCTGTCATTCTCACATTCTCTAACAGATAAACAGCGTGCTATTATTCTTTCAATTATTGACAAAAGTCAAATTTCTTTTGAAAATTTTTGTTGATGTGAGAGAAATACAAAACGGGAAAAAAGAAAGTGTAGAAGTAAAGTCATTTGAAGATCTTCATTGCGAGACGAAAAAATTTACGACATATACAAATGATATTAATACGCACTGTGAAGTCATATTCAATTTTTTACAGAATTGATTCGTCTAGAAAGATGTTTCAATACTACTTTCATAGTGAATGCAGGTGTCATCTAGAAATGGAAATAACATTCTCAGTTTAATATTCGAGTAGCTTGTAGATTGTCAAACGATATGTTGATATTTGTTTTCTTTTTTTTGAAAGAGTCATTTGACAATCAATCATATTGGAAAGAGATTTGAATGGATACAACGATTGACCATTCGATCGATAGAGCACACTAAACGATTAGAGGATGTGGTGAAAGATGTTCAATCTTTTGTTCATTCACCGATTTTTTCGAGAGAATCAATTCTTTTTCAAAGTTTTGGGACAATGTAGGTTGACTGGCGAAGACAAGATCCATTTCAACACTCATAATCACCCACACCCACAGGTATAGGTCAAGCGAAGGTCAACAACCATATCCGCACCCTATTTCAACTATTCCTTTGCTTATTTTTTTAATAAAATGACGAATCAACTATTACTTATATATTTTCGCAACAGTAATGAGATATTGGAACGAATACTGTCATATAACGTAGTATTCTGCTGTGCTTAAGCGCTGGACCTATACACATTTAATATGACCTAGCACTTGAAAGAAAGATCATGAGACGATTATCTTTTCTATAAATGAAAATCATACGTTAGCTCGAATAACTCAACTCAAATTTATTACTGGTCGATAGTGAAACAAAATCGTACTTATACCTTGGATTCATATTTATGATGTTCGTCGCATTAGACCAATTATTTATTTCATGAAAATCATCCGAAAAACAAATTGAATCATGCATGCACACATATCATAGTAGAAAAAGCTTATCCACTCCAGGCATGTCTGCCGTCTTCTCAGAGAAGATTTTATCGAGACGTTGCGATTGTTTTTTACTCATGGTTGAAGACCAGTTGCCGGCAATACCTTCTCGCACAACTACACAATGATGACACCTTTGCAAGTTTCTTTTATCAATAGGCCAGAGTGCATTAAGCGCTTCGTTGGCCAGTGCAACGCGTGCTTGAGCTGAGTATGCCTTGTGAAACCGTTCTTTCATATAATAAAAAGATGAATAAGTAGCAATACGCTCAAGTAAATTATTACTGACTTCAGTGTTCATGAACTGAGCAACTCAACAAATGACTCCAGGTAAGACACGTTTCATTTCTTCATAAGACGTAAGAAACACATTTGTATCGTCTTTATGTTGTCAAACCGAATGTAGATGTTCAAAGTAATCACCAAAATAAACATTTTCATTGATAAAAGCTTCGAAAAAGTTATCGAATAATGTTTGTTCTGGTTGAATACCCATGAGTTTGAGCAGAAAATAATAAGAAGAAACGTACACATCTTTTGGATTCCGTACTACACATATATATTTGGCATTCTCATGATAAGGAACATGATTGAAAGGTAAATGACTTTTAATAAGGCATGACCTATGTATATTGTTCATACCTTTTTCACCTACTAATTCAAGAAAAGATGTACGAGCAAAATATTCTGCCATATTGTTGTCGAATACTTCACCATCGTTCATTAATGTATACAGAATAATTTGCATCCATGTTGTATCCGATTTTGGATAGACAACAAGAAAGATATCATATGATCGTGCCTTGTAATTGAATTCTGAACGAAAAGTTTCAATATCACAATCTGCAGCCATTGCAATATTTTCAATTATTTTAATTTTTGGACACAATTCAACCATGTTTATCTTCAAATTGTGTTTACATGAAAAAGAGCATATTCAATCAAGTACATAAATTTTCGTTTTAACTTTCTGGAATGCTATTCTTTTCAAGAAAAGTTCGAAAATCAAGACAAAGAATTTTATTAAGAAAATATTCCGTCTTCTTTTCTCAACACAAATAAATTCTTACTATATCTTTATAGGTTTTCAAATCAGTTTTTTCGAATTTCTATTATCCAAAAGTAATGCAAAAGATGATACTAACTTAACACTGATCGTATGTTTTTACGAAATGTGGCAGTCAAAGTGATACATTTCAACTTGAACAAGACTTAGAACATTGCTTCTAAGAAAATCGACCCGTATTATGACAGTTCATTTGTCAATCGTTCTTCGGCAACAACTTATATCATGTTCCAAATAAGTGCCGAAATCTTATTCAGATTACATGACTTCTAATGTCTGAATAATTTTAATACTGTCTAAAAGATATATAAGTCATCGAGTCAGAACCAGATTTTAGCGTCTCTACAAATAATAAAATATGCAGAAAAAATACCACAATACGAACTGATTTTTAGCGTTAGTAGCAACATTTTAGTACAGCACCTTAACCGAAATAACGTGAAACCTAAAAAATGTTAAAAACAAGAAAAATGAAGGTCAATAATCGATCAGATTGAAATATGAAGGGAAAAGTACAGATAATAGCAGTGTTCGATTTTCGTCGAACTGTAAGCCGTACGTAAAATATACTGTAGATTGTGTCGATACCTTAATCAACCATTTTATCCTACCTGTTCGTAGTGCTTAATAGGATAGAAAATAAACAAGAGGACGTGCTCTTCATCTTATATTTTTATCGCTGTATCGGCAAAAAAGAATCAGTATTTTTATCTTATTCTCGCCCATGAAGAGTATGGCTAGAAGCACTGAACAAACTTGCAATGCTCCTATACTTATTTATAACAACATTTTGTTTTTCTTCAAAAATGATCATTTAAGATCAAGAGTTTTCAAACAATGTAGCTATCTTAATTTTTATAAATTATTCATTAAAAGAATACTGATATCGACATGTGCAATGCATATATTGAAAAATTTCGAGAAATTTTACTACGATAAAATTCTGAGAAACATCATGTCATTATATTATGATACACATATGCGCTCGTTCTTTGCATGGCAATTGTGCGTATCAAGACACCAAGGTATATATTTAACTACTTACTACTCTTCACTTCCCAATTTCATGACAAAATCGAATGCACACATCAAAGTAATCAATGAAATAAAAAGAACAGACAAAAAACGAGAAAGATAGCATATGATTGGGAAAAGATAGTAATTGAGAGATGAACGATGTTTTCTGCGTCATTGGTTCATGTCTTCATTGTGTTAGGTTAATGGAATATTCTCATCTTTTGAAATGCATAATTATGATCCGATTTTGTTACAGATATAGATATAGATGAAAACAAGACCCATACATACACCCAACCAGCAATATCCTAAATGACAGATGAAAAAATGATAATATAATCAGATAAAAGTTTCATCATTCAGTTTCTTTGGTTTTCATTTAGAGAAAATATTGTTTTTGACTGCTTGGTTATGTGCATCAATTTCAAATACTTAATTGTCATCATTTCGTTATTGCTTTTTTTCATTTCCTCTACAACACTGAAAACTTGTTGAAAGATAGAGATAATATCTAGACATAACGAATGTGTTCAGCAAAAAAATTTAGCTCATCGTTATTTTCATCTAACATAGGAGTAAGTTGTAGGATGTGAGTCTTCTCTTCACTCATACTCGTAGCCACTGACATGCAAATTCATGCATACCCATATACACCTACACTCTCATAACTTCCATGATCTTCAACGTTGCATCATTATTGATCCATTGAGGTATATAATGATAGTTAACATCTGAAGTTTTAAAATCTAAATACTTCTATTTAAGTTATACCAATATCAACCTGTAGAAAAACGTATGCAACAAGTGTTTTTTCGTAGTTTCTTGCAAAATTGATGTAGTATCATATGCATATCGCCCTTCAATAAATTAACTATCCTTCTTATATTGCTAAACTCGAAAGGATTGAAGAATATCTTATGATATTTATATCTTAAATTCTATACAAAAAAAAGATTTCTCAACAAATCTGTCATTGATCTATTACAACGAAATTCACTTAAATATTATGACATCCTCATATGGAACATGTAATATACCTTGTCGAGTTGTACTTAGAATAAGGTGCAGTTAAGAAAAGTTTTATGAATTGAATTTCATCTGAAAACAATCTTATTTGAATAAGAATGTCGAAGATTTTGCTGAAAACTATATAAAAAAATAATTTCGTCAAATATCTTCTTTTTAATTGTAAATCAATTAGGATTTCTTCATGAATTTCTTTCTTTTTATAAGTAATTTATTCTAAAATGTTAAAATAGATACATGTAAAAAATGCGAATTCATCAATAAAAATAAAAGTTTGACAATAATTTGAAAATGATCTACTTTTGATTTTGATGTTAATCGAATTCAAACAAAAAAATTGTTTACTTCTAAGGAATGTCGTGATTGGTCCTCGTATTTGAAGTTATTTTACTTGTAAGTTCTTTAGTTCAAATATATAATTAATTGTTCATTGAAAACTTTCATAAACGAATAATTAAATTCCCGACCATTGATGACCTGAAATTGCAAGTGGTAAACTTTGATTTTCACACAGAGGTGGTTGATCAGGCTGAAATGAATAAATATCTCGTAGTTTTAAAGATGCAAAAGCTGCCAAGCGACCAAATCCACTGTGTTTAGTAATTATATGTTGTTCACATAAACTGAAAAGAAAATTATCAAACATTCCTAATTGAAATGCTAATATTCCATTAGCTGTAAACGATGTGTGAAAAACTGGATCGGAATTTGCTAAAATATTTAAATTACTACTATTCAATTGACATTTATTGCCCAATGATTGAAAACATTCGAATGGAAATTTCCAACGTTTTAAAGCAGCTTGCCGTATGTGACGACCATCAGATAGAAGAAAACTAATTGGAATTTGATTTGTTTTATGAAAAACAGTTTTATTTGTATTAATTATTTGTTGTGAACATATAAAATAGGTTTGAAATTTGTTAAGAGTTCTACTTTCATCAACATCAAAACCAGATCCCATAAATTCTTGATCTCCGGCACGAATCTGAATTCCAATTGGAAAAAATTTCGGTGATAAAATTGTTTGTAAAATTTGTTGAGATGAATGACCTAATTGATTATTTGAAGAAGTTAATGGAACTCTTTTAATCAATTGAGATAAACGATAAGCAAAAAGAGAATGATAAAGACATCCAAAAATATTATCTGAATTCATTTCAAGATCAATAGTTAAAAATTTTCTATAAATACTTGAATTAGATGTAATCATATGTATAACACCTCCTGTATGAGCTTTAAATATAACAATACGTTCAGGACAATGTTTCTCATAATCATAATCTTGATTATATCGATCCAAAGAAAATGAATAATCTTTTTTTGTTAAATTCTTTTGATTATTTAAAGATAAATTTTCTATAATCGTATCCATTTGAGAAAACCAAGGAATAATAAGTTCTGGTTGATAATTTAAACTTGATTGGATAGTATCTATAAATTCTGGCCAATTTTGATCAAATATCAATAATCGATTTGTTAATATAGCTATGAAATAAGTTGTTATTAAATGAATTATTCGATCAGCAATACCTGTGTAAGGTTTTTCATAAATTAGAAAACGAACATTAAGTTTAATTATACGTTGAAGTTGTTCTTCAAATGTTATTGATCGCTTACTAATAACCAAACTAATCTTTTCATGCCATTTATGATAATTTAAAATCCATTTTTGAAATTTCGTTGAACATATTTGACTATTTTTTGCTATTTCAAATGGAATTAAACGTCTTGTTTTTATTGATTTAGTTTTTTTAACTGAAATTTTTTTATATATTGATACATCATTTTGTAAATCAAGCCAATTGGAAACAGCTTCTTGTTCTCTATAAAATAATTCTTGTGAAGTTGAATGAATTAATGTATCTACAGAAGGACATTGAAAAGAATTGAACTGTAATTGTGTAAATTGATTTTTATTTTCAGATAAATTCTTTAAAGCTAAATTTAAACATGTCATTGTTAAAGGCCATTGAGACCAAGAAAATAATTTTGCTTGATTAAAACTTGACCACTGATAAGTAAAACGAAATTTATCATCAACTAAGAACATTTGATCAATATCGAGAGATATAATATCAGATGTATTTTTTAATGATGATAAACAACTTGAGTTTGCTGATAAAAGATTCAAATGTGCTTTTTTTAAATCGAATATTTGTATAAGAAAATTTAAATGAAAATGACAAACTGGATGAAAATCTTTTTTATATTTCGATTTTATTAAACAGGTTATTTTAAGACATTGAATTTTCTCATTGGAATTGTTTTTAAAATAATTCAAAAAATTATTTCCCATTGATGTTAAATTTAATTTTAATGTCAAATAATGATTATGAAATATTGGTTGAAATAAATCTTCTTCCATACGAGACAATTCTTTTTCATATAAGAAAAGTAATTTCATTTTGAATCTTCTCATTGATATTGAATCATTTTGAGTAGTCTCTTCATTGATCAAATTTAATTTCGAATGATTTTGTAAAATATAGAAAATAATTAAAAGAAATATAATCAAACCAAAAGTTCGTTGATTCTTTGCTTCGAGATATAATTTTTTCTTTATGATTCTTAAATATTGCTGCACCATTGATAAATAATAAAAAGCAATAAAAAATCTGAAAATTTATATTAAAGAATCATTAGAAAAAGATAAGCTTTCGCTCAGAACTCAATTGAGTTTGATAAAACGCTGAACATTAATTAAAGATTAAATTAAAAAAATGAGAATTATTCTTTTAATTTTATCCATTTATCTTGATTGTTTTTCGTCTCACATAATTATCTCTTATGATTTATCTATATAATATACTTAGGGCAATATCGAGAAGTATTAGTGAAGATATTTTAATTCATCATAAAAAGCTTAACGAAACTTTTTCTCTATATAGTCTAATAGTAAAAAACGAATACTCTAGTTTTCTGCCACATATGAACACTCTTCAACTAATATCATTATGATGAAATTTGGACAAAATTTGTGTGTTATAATATGTGACGGCAATAAAAGATCATATTTTGTCTTTATGATGTTTTCTTTGTTCTTCTCTTTTCTCATCTCCTCTACAATATCGAGCCATCAATACATATCAGGGTGTACAGAAACACTTTATAAAGTTGAACATAACACGATGTAACAATTCTGGTTTGTTTTAACCGTTCAGATTTCGTTTGATTAAGCCAAATAACTAAAAAATCACATAGTGACAAATCTCAGTGTATTTTCTAAAAATTGGATAAATTTATTTCTGCATTTCTTTTCCATTCTAAAGACATCACTTCTTGTTAAGAACAAGTTACAGGTCGAAAACAACATACAATCTAATATTATCATCACATCTTATAATAAACAGGTCCTATCGACATTTTATTATTAAGATATTAGTTGAAAAATAATGTTGTCTCTCTTGTTAATCTTATCGATTTTCTTTAAATAAAAAAGAAACATGCGTGTGGGTGTTGGAGTAGTTTGAAATCTTTGTTCGACCACACCCACTTCAATTTGCTCTTAACTTTATCGTTGTCAGAATTTTTATATATTCGTAGAGATACTTTTGAAAACAATTTAAATTGTAAAGTTAAAAGAAATTCATTAGCCATTCTTTTTTTTATTTCCACGTACTCAATACTTTCTCTTGCTGAAAGAAACAAATTCTTCGATCACGAATCAATTCTAATTTTGAAAATAATTTCTCCTTTCCGATATACTATTTACCAATAGAGGAGTCTATTATACTACCGAACACGGTTAATTATGACTCATCCGTGTCAATGAGGATGTCTATTCGCTTATTCTTGAGTTCCACATGTATTTTCTACTTATAAAAGTATTAACTCAAAATAGTTCAATGTGACGACATATTGCCTCCCAAATGATAATATCATTTTATGACTTTCAAATTTAGAAAATACTACAGCTATAATCGTATATTTACCATTACTGACAAATATTTCGAGCGAATATAAAACCATAATAACTCGAAATTTCGATATCATGTGATTGATCTAATGCAACTTGATTTTTTTTTCATCCACATATTTCATTTCGCTACATATATGTAAACGTATAAGTGTTGTCTTTTTAGTATTATGAAATTCAGTTGAAACTATAAATACGTAAATGAAAAAAGTTCATGAACAGGTGACTAACGAAGACAATAGATACTTCTAAATGAATTATAATGAACTTTTAGTTAACGCGAAATAATCATTTGATTCTGCCACAATCGAGATATTCATTCAAGAAAACTTTAATTGTCTTTCATCATGTGGTGTAATATTGTGATAAATAATTTCTACATAAAAATAAGACCCATAATCAAACCCATTAATAGTTTATAATAATTAAAAATTTTGAAACATAATTTTATTATTAAGTTAAATTAAACCAAAAAAAAAATTCCAAAGTTATACCATATTCTGTGAAGTATAAATCGATATAAAGAACTTCAGAAAATTGTAAGATATTCTTTTTCCGAAATTCAGAACAACTATACATATTAAAATGTCATTGCTTCGATAAAGACTATATACCATATATTGTTCTTGCCATGTGTAAACAGAAATCATTTGATGTGTAGTTATCTCTTTCAGAATGTCAGCAACAGTATTCCAAACAATACAAATTTCTTCATCTTGATTTAGATTCAGAAGGATAATGCTGATAGAAGAGATATCATTTACTATCATAATAAAAAAAAACAAAGTCCATTTGGATTATTCATCCGATTCATTTTGGATAAACAAATGAATTCAAACATGATGTTGATATGGATACTTATCTTCAGTCAACTCGAAGAAATATATGACAATAAAAGTTCAGAACAATATTAAGAAGTTTAGCTTACGTCTATTATATTACTAGATAAGGAGACAGACTGTTATTTCAAACTAGAAAAAAAAAAGATTACCTTTGCTGGTGCTCACTATGTATACATGCATGTCTATTTGCTTTTGTAAAGTGACACCGTATATTTCACGACAAAGCTTACCATACAAAAATCAACGTATTGGCTAAGCATCGTTTGTGATTCATTTGTAAAAAATATATTTATTGAAGCATGCGATGAGAAACATATGTATGAAAGAAATATTGGATGATGTTTTTTCGAAGAAAAACTCAATAAAAAAAAACATACACTAAATTTTTTATGGGATATGTTATGCTTGTATTATAATTATTTATAAAAGTTGAGATGATTCTGCTAGATAGAACATTTTTGAAATATTATTGCATTTCGTCATTCAAGCGACATTGTTTCGTATTTACATATGTGTCTTTGCAACGCCTATGAATAAGAACGATAAAAGATATGGATGATTGACTCGACGATCAAACAAATATATAATATCATATATACCATCATACTTAACGATTACTTATCCGTATGTAAACATTGAAACAGAGAAAAATGTGCAAATATAAATTATATTATCCATTAATATTATTGGAATCTCTTTGTTTTTTATTTGAGAAAAATATATAAATAGTTTACTTGCTTTTTTTAATAAAAATTCCTTATATTTTACTGTTGTTTGTATACAGGGAAACAACATATTAGGTGAGAATGACAATCAGTATAGGGACATTTATTTGATTTAAAACATAATCACATAGCATACAAAACTTCTCTTAAAACTTATTCAACAGTAAACAAAATGAATTTGAAAATAGTGATGAACAGATGAATGATATAGTATCATTTATTTCATAGTTCGCAGTTTTATATGTATGGACTCGTAGTTATAAAAGAACAGATCAATGACATTAAGTATATATGGAGTTTCACATAACATGGCTGAAGATAGAATGAATTTTGAGAGTAAGGAGTTAACGAAAACTTTCGACTAATGCGTAGGTCATTCGCTCCGCTCACAAAAGTGCTATTTTAAAGAACGATCTTGACAAAAAGCCATTCTGAAATTGAAAGAAATAAATTGAATAGGTCTTTTTGAACTAATTATTAGTCATGTTTTTAACCGACATCTATTTCTATATTTCAATTGTTTCAGGTGGTATAAATGTTATCCTTTGACGAGTGAGATGTAGTCTTAATCGTTTTTGTGAAACACGATCTGAAAGGAGTGTTGAAGTGTTTAGGGGTAGAAATTTGCACCCACCCCCTCCCCCTCTCCACAGACCGTGACAGACGAATTTACTAATTAATTAAATAATAGGGTAATTAATTAATAATTAATATTTTGCTAGAAAATCGCTGAATTCCCATCACAGACCGTGACAGAGAAACTGTAGTTCTAAAGCATCAGATAAACGGCTAGCTACAAATGTATCGCAAAGAAATGGAACAAAACGATTTCCATTTAATTAGTAACAATAGATCCATCGTGTTTCACATTTTTAATCCCGCAAGGGATTGCGCTAACAGCTTTTTTTTGTTATAAATGACTTTGAAACATTTTCGTTCTAGAACGAATCAGCAAAATGTGCGTGTTCTAGGTGATAATCACGTATACATATGCACTGTATCGAGCAAAAGACACAAACTCACATAAAAACGCGTTTGAATGCATCATTTTTTTTTTCTTTCATGATATTTCAATCTAACATGTTGCTGCGTCAGGATATTCTTAAAATGGTACTTGATTGAAAGTAGATTTAAATTGAGATTATGAGACGTTCTTCAGAAAATATCTTGTCTTTAACTGAAATCACAAATAATGATATTATAAATCTAGCAAATGTTGTAACATATAACTTGTGTCGATTGTATCATTTCATATCGTTTTATTTTTTAAAGTCATTCAAAAGAAACAATAAGTGATATTTTATTTCGTACTTTGGAACTAAGATACCGCTAGTTGAAACAAAACTCCATGAAATTCATTAAATTTAGAATAAAAACAAGCAGTAATTCCATTAGAAGAAAACCAAATAAATCATCACTTGTAAATTAATATAATACTGTTTTGAAAAACCCAAGTGAACTTATAATAGATTTGTTTAATTATTTCTTCCTTTCTTAGTGTGTATTTTGTTCTAAACACTACTTCTTAATGTGCGTCTTATTTGCAAATCAAAGAATATTTTTCGCAATAATTATCATCAATGAATCATGAAAAGAATTTTACTTTGACGAATGAATTGTAAATGAATATATATATATTTATTTATTTTTGTATTACTTAACAATGGCTATCGACATTATCTATTCCATTGTGATGCTGCTATAAGAGAATTATCATTTGATATTTCTCTAAGATATGATTATGAGTGTATGTGTGGTTTAGCAAGAAGTGAACATCGGCGCTAATTTACCTTCCCATCAACACTTACAAGCATAAGACGCTCTATTTCACTGGATAGATTCCAGTCCATTACAAGGGGGAAGCGGCAGACTTGAAGTACATCAAAGTACTTTAAAATTATATGAGAGTACTTTGAAAAAC